CCCCAAGCTATGGGTAGATAGCAGTACAGACCGGGTTCTATAACCTTGAATAGCAACTGGTCTACCGCAGAAAGAAATGGCAACCTACTACGGGAAAAATCTGCCTCGTCAGTCATGTATCGAAAGATACATGATCGTCTAAGCGTGTATCACGCATGGCACATGACTGACTGAAGATTTTTTTAGAATTCAAACGAATCGTCAGGAAATGAAATCCAGTTATTGTAATTAAGGAAAAATATATGAGAAAGTCGGTAGAGTAAATATAAATATTATTTATTTGATATGGAACGAGCGAAGATCGAACTCACTACTACAGTAGTAATTAATGTGTGAGTCGATTTTATCAAGCAGGCCAATGCAGCATGCTACGCTGAAATCGATAACCTAAAATGCATATCGCTCACAACTTTCTCGTCTTCCAGTTCATTTGATTTTCTATAACAAATGAAGATTCATTTAGAATCCTAATTATTTAATACCCTATTTAAAGAAATGAATAACCTTTTCAAAAGAAATGAAAATAAGAAAGACGTCTTAATCAAAAGATTGGAATGTTTTACCCTCCCGCCAGTCACCTGATCATTAAATTCCAATATAAAAAGAAAAGATAAATATTGATTTAATAATTTCTGCGAATAGCGTTTCTCACTTCAAATTTCCGTCCAAATATTTCCTATAATTAAAAATCCTATCTTTACGAGCTTTCACGATGCCATTTTAAACGTCACGATTTATATTCCGCTAAGAATGGTGTTTAAATAAATATCTTTCGATGTTTCAATTTTATGACCTAACAGGCGAAATGAAGCCATTCTCAAATTGAACAGGATAAATTTAATCACTTCGAAACAACAAAGCCAAAATGAAAAGCAGAAATAAAAAACTTGAAATCCCATAAACAAACAGAATTCTTATTAGTTTTTACACACATCGTACCCATCAAAAATGACGGTATGATTTATACGTTTGTTAGACAATCTTGTCCAGGATCAATGCAATATTTGTGTCAAGGATCAATGACTTAGTCTCTAAGATTTTGATCGGGATCAAAGTGTAATGAATAGAAAACAGCGAAGCTTTATTTTGCTAAGCTGAACTGTTAGTAATTAGATGGCTTTTATACAGAGTAATTAGTATTGAAATGGGGAGATCAGGATAATTCCTTATTACGACGCAGTCTCTATTTGCTCCTGAGTTATCTGAGCCAGGTACCAGGGATTTTAACACCTTCTTGGACGTGGGTTGGTGGATACCGACGCAAGCATGACTATGATAGCGAGGACAAGAAGACTTTTGTTCTATACCTATACACATTAACCATTAGCCAACGGGGTTAACTATTAACCAAATGAGGGCTTACCCAGGCGTGGTTATCACCGCCCTGTGCTGTAAGTGGAGCTATGATTCTCCTCGTTTTAGATCGGAGAAGTTACTCAGCCACGGAGATCCCAACCTTACGGCAGCATATTCCTCATCGCACTAAAGAGGTAAGGTTGGTGTAATACGTTGACAGTGTCAGTGGTCGTGAGGGATGGGCAAAAATCAATTTTTGTCTTCGTCCTATATGCATTAGTAGGTATATGGTACCTCTCCCCCGACGTTAAAATGATCTTGTGTCACATCCGGTCTTGGTAGGAAGTTCCGGGAAAATATAACTGTACGCACGCACTCCACATTAAACCAAACATGTATCGCACCTTACAGACAGGGTGGGGTCGGGAAAAGTAAATGCAGAATCTAAGTGTAATATTTTCCCAAAATCCCCTGTGACGTTCCCGAACACTGCGCCTTGTTTTAGTTTTTGCATCCGGGCGATTTACGATTTATTCATTGAAGGTCAAGGGGCAGCACTTTCCTGGGTATTCTAACCGATTTGTAATGTTGTTTAAATGATCTCAATTCTTTAATCGTATTTCCATTTCCTCGACCCGTTCCGATAATCCTAGCGCTCCAGCATTGTTTGGAACTAGATCTTAATGTTTTCATTTTTTTTTTCTAATTTCTCTAATACGGTCCAGGTACTTATCTAGCTTTTTAAACCATTATCTGACAAATATTCTTCACTTTCTTTGCAATAACTAAATCTGATCTTCTAGCTTGTCATGGATTTGATGATTTCTACAAATTCTAGAGAATTTCATGAAATTTGAATATTTGATTTGTGCACATTCCTGTTTGCTCAAATCGCTGTTGTTTGCAATGTTTCCAGTAGGTTTCTTTTCTTAACCAGTCATGTCTACTTTTCTATTATTTTTTTTTTTAGCTAACTTGACGCATTCTCTTATTAGGTTGTCCCAAAAGTTCGTAAACACTTGTAAAAAAATGAAATTTTACTCGCCAAGTAATAACAAAAACAACAAAAATTATTCCTCAAAATAAAGACCATCATTTTCCAAGACTTTCTGCCATCGATCTGCAAGCTTTCGGATCTGGTGAAAGTACCATTCCGCCGGCTTCGAATCAAAGAATTCTTGACACGCTTCCTCGACTTCATCAAACGAGTCGAATCAGCGGCCCTTCAGAAAGTGTTGCATTGAGCGGAAAAGGCCGTAATCTGATGGAGCAGGGTCAGGACTGTAGGCTGGATGTGGCAGAACCTCAACGCCGTCCAGCTCTTCAAACTTGTCTTTGGTCTTCCTGGCGGTGTGTGGCTTGGCATTGTCCTGCTGCATCAAAGCGCGCTTTCGGTTGATCAGAGCCGGGTACTTTTGCTTCAACTTTTCGTAGACCCGCTCCAGTTGCTGACAGTAAAGTTCGGCACTGATGGCACGACCATTCGGAACCAACTCAAAATGCACGATTCCTTCAAAGTTCCACCAAACACACAACATGACTTTCTTGCCGAATCGATCTTGTTTTGGAACCGACGGTGTCTCTTGCCCTTTCTGAACCCATCGTTTGTCTCGATTGTGCTGGATTGGGCTGCATAAAAATACAATTTTTCGCAAGTGTTTACGAACTTTTGGGACAACCTAATATTATGTAGAAGATTGTTTTATCTCTATTTCTGCAGAGTCTGAGTTTGCAATTTTGCATTTTTTTTCTCTTGATCCGATGTAATTAGTTCTTATGATGTGATATCTGGCCATTCATATTCGAGGTTACCCGTCTACTAGGCCGGCTAGCCAATCCCTATTGCAGACCCTCGCTCAGGCATATTTGTGTTTGTTCAACACCCACAGAGCCAACCTGTGGTTTATACTGCAACTATGTTGAGCAGACCTTAGTTACAGTTTCTGGGAGAGATCGTGTTATCTAGAATAATCAACAATCTGAATAGCACCAGCACACACAAACCTTCGGTCACGATGACTTGGGACTTCGTGCTAGCACAGTTGACGGCCCCAAGTGTTCCCTCTGTTACAGTTTTTTTTTGGATATATCGATGTACTAGTGAGCCAACCAAAATGAGCTGACTCATTTTATAGTCCACCAATCAGAAAGCTCAAAATATTCAATCCGACGTGTATAAAGGCAACCATTTTGTTTTTTCTCCCAAAATATCTTCACTGACAACCTCTGATATCGAAGACTTCAAGAATTACTTAACAGCTGCTACTTTCTCCGAATCTTCACTGCCAACCTCTGATATTGAACACATTACAGACTTCACTGGATTCTATAGTCAGAGACTACGGCAAACATGGTTAAACCCTCTACCCAAATTTACTTGCAAGCTTGGGTCAACCTATGGTATGGTATTCGGGCACTTTGCAAACGTCCCCCCTCTAGACCGATAACATCAGGAAGTCTCCTTCCTGTCAAATCGACCATGGTGAGATTCGAACCTGGGTCTTATGGTCAGAAAGCGAACGTTATAACTAAAAACAGCATTACAGTTTCTCTTTTTAGATGTTCTCTGCGCAACCATGTTAATGTTGTTTCAACTGCAATTTTTTCCTCTTTTTTTATTTAAATAATTAACCTTTCTTTAATCTACCTTGTATAGTTTTTTAAGTCACCTGATCGAAAAGTTACCATCATTTTTAATGCTGATGAAGTTTTTTCCTTCTTTTTTCCTTCTCACATATCAACATTGTTTTCATAATTTTAGTTCTTTTTCCTGTCTTGTTTAACAGGGGTCCTGAATCTTCCCTATTTATTTCTTTGATTAAAATTCAGCTACATACGTGTCTTTCTAAAAATTTTCCCTGTTCTTCGAACGTAGAGCTTCCCAAACTGTACGGCGTGCACCTCTTATGTGCGGTTGTAGAGGATAGCAGGTGAGGCGAAATGATTGAAAGACAAAAATTTAGAAACTGTTTCAAAAAATTCATGTGCCAGAAATAAATATGATTTCAAACTTTAAAATATTATTATAGATGACTTGTAATTGCATGCATGAGTCCCAGTATAAATAGTTATAAATATTTACTGACTGATTTTATCATTGTGATGTTTTTGCATTATATCAAGTATTAAGAATATAGTGTCATATGCCCCAGTCGACGAATGGGTTTATAAGGCGATCATACGTCGACTAGAAGATATATACACCTGTAGAGAGATACAGGCTATCTCTCTCAGATCGTGACAATGGACGATTGGTAAACAAAAATATTTTTAAGGACACTGTTCGATTGGGATAATCGAACAATAATCTTTCCCAAGTCCGCTTCGTTTTCAACACGAATACTGATCCACAATACAAGGATGAACTATAAGGCTTAGCGATTTTTGATACAAGAATTTTAATATGTACAAATATAGAAATATCAAAATAAAAGAACAGATAAGTATGAGTTAAAACATCCGACGACCAGATCTCAAAACTTACGTTGGGATATCAAAATTCGCCTAACTCCAAATGGATTCAACTGAACCCGAACATACAAAAATATAAGTATTAATTACTATGAATTGAATGCAGAAGCCAACGCATACACAAAAGAGATGGGATAGGAGTTACAATTATTGTTTTGACATGTGGAAAGGTGTATGTAAGAACATAATATTTATGGATGTATGTGTATATTTCTAATACGGGTTCAAAATATATGATTACTTATCTTTTATATTCAGTTCTCTTTTTTATCATTGTCCTTTCTTTTCATTCCTTGACACAAATACGATTTCACACACTGTCCGGCTGTAACAAAGATATACACTTTCTTCCTCTCTCTGTTTTTCCTTTTTTCTTTCCTTCTTTCTTCGTCTGTATACAGTTCAGTTTCCGAACCCGACTCACTGCAACACCATCTTCCTCTCTTTGGTTTTCTTCTTTCTTTCCTTCTTCTTCTTTACACAATTCAGCTTATAACACTTTCTTCTCTGTTTTCCCTTTTCTTTCTTTACACAATGCAACTTGTAACAGAGGTATATACTTTCTTCCTCTCTGGATATCCTTTTTCTTTAAACGCAGGCTGAATTCTCAGCGTATAAATTTCTCTGCGTCTTCAATTTGGGATTCTCGAACAGGAATATTTCTTGTTATATTTCCTGTCCGGAGTTGCCTGGGTTGAACTGGATAAGTTCCATCACTATCAAATGAGTCTTATCTTTCCGTTCATAAACTATCAGCGCTTCGACTTCAGGTTTTGCCTCTTCAAAGTCAAGATAGCAACTGATTCTCAAGTGAATCTCTGACTATCACGTGTCTTAAGTTTTGGCGCGAATTCCAGCTTACATCAGTTCCCTGTCTAGCTTCTGTCTAGACATTTGTCGCTACGGGTAATTGGGTCAGTCAACCTTTTGACCTGCCAGTCATAAGACTGCCACGTGACCTTTATTCTGTTGCTAGGCGGAAATTAACCTTAATATATGCGTGTATGCGTGCTTAGGCTATCTGCTTTCGTCACAATAGTAACTAAGGTCCGCAAATTGGAGGAGAGATTTATCAATGATAATGGTTTAACTTTGAATCTACGGTTATCTCCCTTTGAGCCTCACTTTTTTTTATTTTACTTTTATCACATAAAATTTGTTGTAATGCGAGAAAATTTTAACTCTGAAAATACGGCCCAGAGAAAAAAAATTGGGAACCACACTAAGGTATTCTTAAACGATTTTCCAATTAATTCTGTTTTATTGTACACACTTCTAGAGTATAGATATACTTGGATGTTCCTTTCTTGTTAAACATTCTGATACTTTTCTGATTGTTTATTTGCAGCCTTTCTGTTACTTTTTCATTATCCAAATGACATTTTTTCTGATCTGCTTTTTATTTTTAGCAAAGCAATTGAAGTTCTGTATATCAATGAGGTGCGTGATTCTTTTCTTTTTCGATTTTCTCTGGCTTACCACATATGGAGAGAGAAGGGAGATCACCGCCCTCTGTGGAATCAGGTTGAGATCATTGACAAGGAACACCATTGGAAAATTCGTAAACTTAAGGAATCAGCACATATGCTAGGCCACAAAAATCTCCTGAGCCGACCAAGCATAGAAATAAATACAATATGGGAACCAGTAATAAGGAGTGCCAGAGAAAAGCGTAACAACAAAAGTTGCAATATGAGCTCTGGTAAAAACATACAATGATAAGAGCAAAATTGCAATATGAGTGCTGGTAAAAATGGTTGCTGAAGACATTAGGTTTATAATACCCAGAAATTCATACCCAGATGTCCTCAATGACACATGGCACAGTGGATAAAGTCGTTGGTTAGATACAGTACCCAAAGAGTGTGAGTTCAATACCCGGTGGAGAACTTTCAGAGGGAAATTAACAGATAACTGGTAACTGACATCCATTAAACATGCCACGTGGAACTAGAACAGTCTACCCCGGTGAGCGAAATAAAGGTTTCAGTTCGAAATTCCAACCACCTGAAGAAGGCCGGAGCGTACAACGGCCGAAACATTGTGATAAATATGGCGACAAAGATGAGGACAATAGTCTGAATAATGTACATAATACCTCATCTCAGAAATATAGACAGACTCAGATGGTGTAAATATTTACAGTGAACCCCCGCCTATTCGCGTTTCAGCATACGCGGATTTTTCTTTAGAACATATGTACTTGTTATTCATGGAAACCCCAAATATTCGCGTGTTTTTCTGAAGAACATATGTACAAATTATTCGCTTAGAACTCCCTCGATTCGCATATTTTTTCGATAGAACATATTTAAAATATTCTTGTATTATTTTCTTGTTATTTAAGTGACTTAAAACATATAACAGTCTATTTTTATGGTAAAATTGGCAGACTTGTATATCTTCATTGTAAAAAACAAAAGCCAAAACAATCGTAGTGCTTGGGCTTTGTTCTTTGTTAGGGGCCACGGTTGGGGGTCATAAAAGTGACTTAAGCTAAGTCTGGGGGACATCATCACAGTTCTGTTTTTAGAAAATGTTTTAAACTTTATATTTTATGTCTTGTTACACATATTTTATGCATTATTTTCAATGTTTGTATCGATCTATGTGTAATTAAAAACGGTTATTGTACGTGTGAAAGAAAATTTACGCTAAGTGTATGGTCACCAATACTATTTTCCAAATTTTTTTAAAGAGTCTGAAATGTTTCTAAAGCGTTTAGGATGAAGGTTTAAGGCATATGGGGTTTTTAACAATCAAAATAAGTACTTATAAGCACTTTTTGAGGGGTTGCAAGTATTCGCGGATTGTAACTATTCGCAGCCGGTTCTGGTCCCTAACCCCCGTGGATACGGGGGACTCACTGTATACATAGATATATTTAACCATTCATTAATATTTTCAGAAAGAAAATTGAAATATATGAAAGTATGCGTTAACTGTTGCTGGGTTAGTTTATAAACTACTAAAGTCAGTTGATGTAAACTGAAGTTATAGTCAATAATTTTATTATTTACACATGAGATCCATATTGTTTTTCATCAATTTTGGAAAAGGTTGCGAGAACTGGTTTGAAAGGAGTGCGAATAAGGGAAATGGTGAAGAATCACTGCCCGAGAGGGTGTAACTTTTTATTGGGATTTAAACCCTGGATTTTTCCTTCTGCTTTCCGAAATGCCATTATATTCTGACCCTTGTCACTAGTCACGTCGTGAACAGATGCATAATGCAATTAGAGTTGTAACAAATATTAGGTTGTCCCAAAAGTTCGTAAACACTTGCGAAAAATTGAATTTTTATGCAACCCAATCCAGCACAATCGAGACAAGCGACAGGTTCAGAAAGGGCAAGAGACACCGTCGGTTCCAAAACAAGATCGATTCGGCAAGAAAGTCATGTTGTGTGTTTGGTGGAACTTTGAAGGAATCGTGCATTTTGAGTTGGTTCCGAATGGTCGTGCCATCAGTGCCAAACTTTACTGTCAGCAACTGGAGCGGGTCTACGAAAAATTGAAGCATAAGTACCCGGCTCTGATCAAACGAAAGCGCGCTTTGATGCAGCAGGACAATGCCAAGCCACACACCGCCAGGAAGACCAAAGACAAGTTTGAAGAGCTGGACGGCGTTGAGGTTCTGCCACATCCAGCCTACAGTCCTGACTGTGCTCCATCAGATTATGGCCTTTTCCGCTCAATGCAACACTTTCTGAAGAGCCGCCGATTCGACTCGTTTGATGAAGTCGAGGAAGCGTGTCAAGAATTCTTTGATTCGAAGCCGGCGGAATGGTACTTTCACCAGATCCGAAAGCTTGCAGATCGATAGCAGAAAGTCTTGGAAAATGATGGTCTTTATTTTGAGGATAATTTTTGTTGTTTTTGTTATTACTTGGCGAGTAAAATTTCAATTTTTTGCAAGTGTTTACGAACTTTTAGGACAACCTAATAAAAAAATACTAAAAATAGAGTCTCCGTATTTTGTACAGAAACTATACGACAAAACGGTAAAAAAATTTTCGACATAAATTCACATAAAACATATTTCATGTCGTATTATGATCAATAAATAACTTTAATAGAAAGAATTATCGTTTTAAATTCTAATTTGTATTGGATTTTATTCTCATCTTTACAAAAACAAAACAAAGAACAAATCGTCGTATGAAAACATTTAACATGAATCTCCAGTTTTGTACAGAAGAATATTTTTTTAATCATCTCACCCCAAACAAGGCGTGAATGCCACTGAGACGCCGGGGGGGATTATAGAGAGTGAAAGTGGGAGGAAAGACTAGGTAAGGGGAAGCGAAGAAAAGATAAAAGATGAACGGGGTTTAAGAAGATAGAATATGACGACTGACGTTGCATTTAAATTTTCGAAGATTGTAGTTATCAAGGAAGCGAGGAAACGGAAGAGGGTCCCGCAGGCGAGAAGTGCAAGAAAAAAAACTCTTGGAGTAGAAAGAGCTGTTACATTTAACCAATTCAAGAATGTCAAAATTAAAAGTGAGATAGACCTTAGTTATGGCTGATGTCATTGGTAACGTTTCTCTCGGCGCTTAACATCAAACGCTGATCTGTGTCGCGTCTCTCTCCCTTTCTCTCTCTGTCTGTCTGTCTCTCTCTCTCTCTCTCGTTTTCGGCGTGTCGGTGTTGAGATCAAACGTCGGGCCTGTTTGAATTTGAGACTATATAGCTGCCTATCCGCTTGAAATTAATGTTTTATGTTTTTGAGCGGGAGTGTCTCTGATTGGTCATAATCTTTTGTTCACTTTATTATGTTTAAAACGTATGAATGTATGGAGCCGATGCACAAAAAAACGTATTTACTCAATCTGCTTTGAGTCGTAGAGTGGTCAACATGTTTTTTTTTTGTCGAAAATGTAAGAAGCGCGACAAATCTTCCGCCCTTTTCTTCTAAATGCACTTGCATGATCTCTTATTTCGAAAAGTTAATCAAGAAAACATTTGCTTCGATTTTATGGAAAAAAACTGATTTTATTTTTCTTTCTTCTATGTTTGTTATGCATTAGGTTCATGTGAGTGACTATTGTACAATATATGATAAAATATCAGAAAATGACAGGAAAAAGCCGCGGAAATTGGAATGAACATCGATTTGGAGGATAAGATCCAATCCAATGGATCAATCCTGAAATCTCTATCAAAGATCCATCTTCTGATGGACGAATAGCGTGATCTCAGAAAACTTTTTTTTTTAAATGACACGACTCTTTCATGGCGTAGGTGTTGATTTTTCTCCACGACTTCATTTTTAATACATTTTATACAAAATATGAATTATTATATACTTTACTAGCAGAAGAGCCCGGCGTTGCCCGGGGATGTAACAGTAAGAGATAGATCAAGTATCGACCATCATAAAGACTGAAAAATAAAATTGACAAAGATTATTGTTTAAGGTTGACGGATACGCATTTTTAATTAGTTTTTTTTTACGAATTGGTCAAACCCAAAACTCAAAAAATATTGTTTTCAATCGTTATAAGTCTACCGATTGAATAGAATTTTATTATAAACAATTGTCTTGTAAATGGAATTTTTAAAGCATTCTGAATGTAAAAATAAAGAAAAAAGTGTGCAAGACAATAAGAAACACTACCTGCCAAAAAAAAGTGAAGTTTTGTTGAAATCGGTTGAAAAAAAAAATGTAGGAAATCCGATTCCATATAGTTATTT